CTACACAAAAAGCTCAGTTCACTCATCTACCCCGTGCTCAGCCTGCCTTTCGACATAACTTCGGAGATTTTCGTCCAATGTCTCTCTGATTCTCATGAATTCCATGGAGAATCTCAGTCCACTTTCGACCTCCCCCGAGCCAGCAGCTATACGCCGTCAGCGCTGCCCGCTCCAGTTCTCTTATCGCAGATCTGTCGAACATGGAGATCCATTGCTCTGAAAACACCGAGGCTGTGGGCTTCATTCCATGTTTCTGTTGACCGGTGGTTCCAGAACAATATGCAGCTGGATACTTAACGAATTGCAGAATGGATCGATAGGGCGAAATCAACGCCACTTTCCATCACTGTTCATCGTACTTCACAGTACCAATCGACCGCGTCATCCCCGCCAATTCTACCTCATCCATTTATTCCAATCCTGAATCGATCGATTCAGTGGCGGGATGTTGACCTACGCATCCCGTGCGAGGATTTCGTAACGCCGCAGTTTGAGTCAGGCCTGCACAGAAGGCTCCCCGCCCTGGAGATCCTTCGCATCGATGTTACTACCCGATATTCTGGACAGAGAAGCCCAATTCGCGCCTTTGAACACGCACCCAATTTACGCACCGTCTTCCTACACAAACTATCACCATCAATCATAATCCTGCCATGGACACAGCTCACTCATTTCACAGGAGAGAGGTTTACCGCGAACGACTGCCTGCATGTCTTGCGGTCTGCTCTCTTCCTCATCGACTGCAAATTCACTTCGGTCGACAGGGATCTGGACGAACCGATCCACCCACTGCATCTCAACCTCCAGTCACTCTCTCTCGACGGCGAAAGAGTGTGCATGGATATACTCAATATTTTAACTTTACCTGCGTTGATCACTTTCGAATTTTCTGAGGCGGACTCTTCTTCATATCATGAAGATTTCATCTCGTTTATGTCCCGTTCGCGCCCACCATTACAGCGCCTGTCCCTATTTCGCGGCTATCATTTTTTGACCCACAGCTTCGAGTTTCTTCCTGACCTCAGTGGCATACGCCGCCCCTGCCCAGCACCGCAGGATTAAGGCGAGCGAGCCAAATGGCCAGGCAAAAAATGGCGCCGCCAGCCTGTATATTAAGATATAGTCCAACCATTTCAAAATATTTACTACTATTTACATATTTATTTTGAGTCGGAGCAGAGCAATGTAGGGGTTCTTAATCGTGGTTATTCTCCGTCTGCTCTGCAGCCAGTGCTGCAGTCTCTCCTACATAGCTGTAGTGGTCACTTGCTCTCGTTTGTGAACAATTGGAGGTCTCGGAAATGTCAAAACTTCTGCATTCTCTCCGCTCGGTCACAATTCTCCCCAGTCTAAAATCACTTCTGGTTTCAGTTTGGGAACCAAACCAGTTTCGTTCCCCGTCACAGCCGACCATGGTTGATTATAGCCAGTTGCTGGATGTTCTCGACTCCAGATGGAATAGAAAAGGAGGTTCACGTCTGGAATCTTTCCACATGGACTGGCAGCGGCACGGAGGACTCTGGGGTACAAAAGAATTGGATGAGATCAAGGCCTTCTTGCACCAACATCCTAATTTTCGTCTCATTGTTCCGCAATTACTCGATTTGGTGGAAGAGGGCATGCATATTCGACTAGTCGCACACGCACATGGGGACGGTGAAACAGCTTGCCAGTGGATATAGGGTAAATTACGCTCTGCATAAATCAAGGGTGTCTGTGTTTCTTTTGCATGTACATGTGGCGGGGCATCAAGAAAGTGGATGGCGGACCGCGGCCGCCTACACAACTTTAAAACAGATTGTAGACAACTGCATACACATAACCGGCCCTGGATTAACCGCGGGATGGCTTGGACGTCGCGTCCCAATGCGGGCGTGATAGGGCGTGATCTGGCGTGATCTCGTGTGACGTGTACCACCACCTGATCCGAAGGAGGGATCGGCAGCAAAGTAGATCTAAGATCTGATACATAGATACAATTTTCGAAAAAATCTCTGGGGCCAAACAGGAACCCGCAAGTTGAAGGAGCGGTTTCGCAAGATTGCATACAATACGACACACACATTAATCCCATCTTACTTGGATAATAATCAGATAGTAATCAGCGGATAGTGGTAGTTGGATATATCACGGCCCTCTGGTTAGACATGTGGTGTGATACATCACCGCCTCTGAATCAGAGACGTGGCGGATATATCACGTTAGAGATCAACCTATATTCGGTAGGTTGTCCCAATTAGGTCAGTCCTCCGCTGTTGCCCGCCAGCTGGCGGGGTCGCAGGCGGGTGGCAGTGCTCCCGCCACTCTTACCTATTTTGGTGGGTGCTCAATCCGCGGTGCGCTGGCCGCTCCTGCGGGAGATAGAATCTTGACGTGCGGGAGTGTTCGCTTGCACGATCCCGTCGTCGCTCGTCAGCGGTGTGTCTCCCAGGGACGACTCCGAGGTGGCTCATTTTAGGTGAGCGCGGGTTGTTTGCATGTGTTATGATCCTCAGTCTAGCTTCCCCCACCACAGCTGGCACTCGTCTTGCCTAGCTCCTGTTCCTTCCCTCCGTTCCATACTCACTCTTCAACATCTATATGCACCAATCTCTCGTATAAGCCCGCACCGGACCTTGTGTGCCGCCTGGTTGTCCCGTGCCACGCCTCTGCACATTTACACCACCCGCCCCGCTCCCGCCGCGCTTGCACCCCTCCAGATCTGGCCGACCATAGGGGACGTCGGGGTGCATTCCCCCCATCATTTTGAGCCCGCCTTCGACCGCCTACGCCGCCAGGTTGGCTTGGCCCGGCGCTTTTACCGCCCCCCCCCACCTCCCGCCCTCTTGCGCCGCGCTGGCGCTTCCGCGGACCTGGGCGACAACAGGAGACGTCGGGGTGCATACCACCCTTTCTTTCAAGCACCCTTTCGACCCCGTACACCCCCTGGATCATCCGCCCCGGTGCCTTTACCGCACCCCGCCTTCCGCCCCGCTCCCGCCGCGCTTGCACTCTTCCAGATCTGGCCGACCCCAGGGGACGTCGGGGTGCATCCATCCCATCATTTTGAGCCCGCCTTTGACCGCCTTCGCTGCCTGGTTGGCCTCGCCCGGCCACTTTACTGCCCCCCCGCCTCCCGCCCCCTTGCGTCGCGCTGGCGCCTCCCCGGATCTGGGAGACAGCACGGGACTTCTGGGTGCATACCACCCTTTCTCTCAAGCCTCCCTTCGCCCCCGCATGCCCCTGGTTTGCTCGCCCTGGCGCCTTTACCGCATCCCCCGCTTCCCGGCCCGCCCCCGCCGCGGTAGCTCTCCTCTTGATCTGGCCGACGGCAGGGGACGTCGGGGTACACCCCTCCCGTCTTTTTGAGGCCACTTTCGAACCCCTACGCCGCGTGGTTCACCTACCCCGGCACTTTTACCGCACCCCACCTTTTTTGGTCTCTCCGGTACTCGCCCTCCATTGTTACGTATACATCCACACATCCATCCATGTACTGCTTTTTTCTCGTGTTTGCTGCACCCACCGTGCCTCTTTATCACGATTTTTTGCTCACCTGAGACTCGATCACCGCTCCTCCCCACTATCTATCTACCTTGTTATATTGTAGAGCCATTTCAATCCACCCTGCTGCCTCACGCTCGAATCGGGCGCGCCGATCCCTTTTTTACGACATGTTTTTTGTCTAAAAATGCCCTCCAAAAATAGTGTTACAGAGCCACCTTATCTTATCTCAATACACACGTGATCCCATTTCAGATCTTTCCAAGTAAATCTCTTCGAGTTTGCTAATGCATGTGCCCATGTCCCCCGTGAATTAAATGACGACTTTAAGTGAAAGACTTTATATGTCAAAATTACAAGTAACAACCTATATTAGTCCTCCTGTTCAGTCGACAGTGATGATTCTGAGTCGTCGGAGTTGGATTCGTCAGAACCACTGGTCCAAACGCCGTGACGATTCATCCTCCAGTTGTCCAGCGCCTCAGTCCACCTCTCTTCTACCAGCTGGTCCCGCGCTGAACGCTCCTCGGTAATCCACTTGCGTCGCGCCACAGCCTCGACTGATGACCCCGCCGTCGCAAAGCCTTCCACAAAAGAAACCCCCTCCGTGAGTGAAGGACAGCTGGCGAGGGAGGGTGCTTCTCCCGCCGCCTGAAGACTGTGGTACATCTCCTGCGCGCGTCCGTAGTCGGTGAAGACTACACCTTGGTCGTTGTGCTTCACAGCATAAACCATCTTGCCGGGGATTGCCTTGGCAGTACTGGGGCCGGCAGTGGGCGATGAGGAGAGGCAAGCGGAGGAAGAGAATGTCTCTGGAATAGGTGGCGCTGCTGGTGGCATTGCTGGCCTCTGCGCCGGCGCTAGAACACGAGGAGACAGCGGCCGCAAGGAAGGCTCCGTTGACGTGGGAGAGCGCGGCGGCGAGGGAAGCACCGCTGGCGCCGTAGATTGCAAGGTGAGTGCCCCCATTATCGGGCCAATGGTTTGTGAGAGATCGGGTCCTGGCAGGGCGCCATGATGGTGCTCGCCGCGATCACAGGCGGCGAACCACACCGCCTCCAGCGGAGCCCATGTGCGATACGCTTTGACGGTTGCATTCGAAACACTTTTGTACTGCGCGTCCGCGCTAGGCCTGGCCCAATCCAAATTATTCAGCCATTCACCCTTGTCATACACTTTCACTCACCATGAAGCGTAGGCGCCAGGAAAAAGCACGTTCCGACCACAGACAAGGTAGATTTTCTGTCCAGGAAGGGGGCCCACTGGCTGACACGGATCGGCGTAGAATGGTACAGGGCAGCGCGTGGGCGCCATGGTAGGGGATCAGAGTGAGAGGCTAAAAACAGATGCGGTGCTGTCAATAAGGTTTGACACGCGTGAATACTGCGGACCGGCGGTCCGTATCATACCCGTGTCTCGCACATTATTTTCTGTCTACTGTTTCTCGGACCGAAATGAAATTCTTGCTGCGGGCACGGTGGAAGTGATAAAATGTGCCATGGTTCCGCTTTTAGTATGGCTCAATGGTGCAAGGTGTACATCCTCAGAAAATTATAGTTGACGTTCTTTTCGGAGGAAGGAGTGGGTTCGATTCCCACTTGGGCCGTTCCTCAATTATGGTGTTGATTTTTTGAAGCCGCACTGCAGAGCGTGATGAAGATTTTCGCGCATTATTTTCTGTCCACTGTTGTCTTGGACCGAAATGAAATTCTTACTGGAGGCACGGTGGAAGGGGTATAATGCACCATGTTTCCACTTCAAATATGGCTCAATGGTGTAGGTGCACATCCTCAGAAAATCCAAGGTTGCAGTCTTTTCCGAGGAAGGAGTGGGTTCGATTCCCGCTTGAGCCGTGCTCGATTATAGTGTTGTTTTTTGAATCTTATCTCGAGCATTCTGATCTCGATTTTTTCTTATCTCTGGCGCGTATATCTGCATCTTATCTCGAGCATTATGATCTCTTATCTCCGGCGCTTACCAGAGCTCTTACCAGTCATCTGTGGCGCTTATCCGGGCCTTGCCGTATAGCAGCACCTTGTCCAGCATCAATCACTTCGGCTCGTCGGCTATTCCAGTGCCGCGCCCGCCTGCCATCCAAATGTCAAGTCAGTCAAGCGCTCTTTCTCTACCTCTTCCATTTCATTCTGATGTCTGCTGGCAGAAGCTGACGATATAGAGTCTCCCTCCCAGCACACTCTCCCAGCACAGGTCCCTCCATCCCATGGCCGTGGTGGTTGCAATGCGTCGTCGGTTCCCAAGCCAAACCGCTGGGTGATCTTCCTCAGCCCTGACGAGTCCATGCCTCCCGAGCATGCACGTCTCACAGCGTACGTGCCCAAGCTTAGTTTATCATTTCCTCTGCTAATTCCCCGTTCAGCCTCGGCTTTGATTTCGAGCGACGCCCCAAGGAAGTCAAGCGTGTCTATGAAATCATCGAAGGCCACCCATTGCCCAGCCCCCTCCTCGTCCACGCCTTGACAGTGTATGCAGTCATGCCTACGTTTCCCTGTGCTGATAGAATCTCACAGGCTTGGCTATGTCTTCATTTTCGCCCCCCCAGAAGAATGCAAGGACATTGTACCTTTCGCCCCAAAGCCAAAATAGGACGACGGTTTGGAGTTTTAGATATCTACTAGCCACAATCATTTCCCGTTTCTTAATGCTACTTCTGTTTGGCAGCCTTTACTGTCCGAAGCAAGCTACACATCCAAATATCCAGAGCGCTCCTCATCCTCCAGCCCCTGACCCCGCGCCCTGTCCTCCTCCTCCTGCCAGATCTTTCGCTGCCACTCCAGGCGTGCTTCACGGTACTCTTGATCACGCCAGTAGGACAGCTCCAGCGGATGCATCGCGGCCACGCACATGCGCATTATAGTCACGCAGGCTTCATCCTTCTCAATCTCGTCGGGCGCAGAGGACGGCGCGGGCTCGGGTCCCTGCTCGGTTTTGCTGTGCATCATGAGGTAAGTTGGGAACGCGGCGGTAATGACATACGCACAAGAAGCTTTCGTTGCCCATCGAACACAGCGCCGCCTCCATTTCCTCTGTGAGCTTATGCTCGTAGACCCGGTCCCCAAGCGGCTGCGCTGGCGCAGCGGGAAGGTGCTGCCTGATAACGGGCAGGGGATTCACCATCTTGCTGAGCGAGGACTTTGGCAGCGTCGAGGCGCGATCAAATTTCAAGAGCGCCGGAGGTTCTGCACGGGTCAATCTCTAATATTTAAGTAAGCAGGAGGAGAGGATCACACACCAGCCGCGTGATGTTTACGACGCCGGATCCTGGTCATGGCCAACGAGCCCTTTTCCCTGTTGTTTTTCGGATTCGATCCACCGGGAGCCATGAAGTGAGGGGGGGAAGAAAGGTGCATTGTACTCCCATCAATGATTCCTTGGATCTTAAATCACCCCAGATCGTTTGACTTACTTGCGCCATGACAAGTGCGGCAAAGCGACCAAGTTGTTCCTCCGGCCCGACTAACTACGACTAACTCGAACCCCCCGCAAGTACAAAAGATACGCCACTCTCACATCCCGCACGCGCCGCGCCTCCTGCATCTCCGCCTCCGTGCGTAAATCCGCTGCCGTCGTTTCCTTGATCTTAGGTGGGATTGGACGAAGGCGGCGCTGCCTCAGCAGCAGATCTGTTGGAAATCCCTGCCGCTGTTTCATGATCAACGCCACGCGCTTGTCTCGCGCTTTGAAGTGAGCCATTTTCCGGTCGTAGAAACTGATGTATCCCGGCGCCTGCCCTGCCGCCATTCTCTTGACATCGACGAGCCCCGGATTGAGCCAGACCTTCAGGGCAGTGGTCATTCGCCCCTTCTTCATTGCCTCTGATTTTTTGTCAGCTCTTCAAAGGATCATAGGTATTATTCGTTTTACCGCGTTTCAAGTGAAGGGAGGTTGGTTCCACGACATTGTGTTTTTTGGGAGTGTGTTTTTTGGGAGTGAAACCGATGGGCATGCTGGGGACGGAAATGTTCTCGCGAGGTGAGCGAAGCAACTATCAGTATTTCTAGGCCCCCGCAGCCCCGAGAGTGCGCATCAGGATCAGAGATCGATGGAGCCACGCGCACGATGGTCGTGCAGGGTGCTTCAAATTAAATAAACCAATACGGCCCCCCCCTTGTCTTGCTAATACTGAACAATGTGCCCTAGTCTAGCCCCGCAACTGCGGCCCTCCCAGCCGTGCCTGTGCTATCAGAACAACCTCTGCCAAGACGGCTCGAAGGGGTGCGCGTGCCGCCTCCCGCCTCGCAATTTCCTCCCACATCTCATCCAACTCCGCCTCGATCTGGAGGGCGTCAGTCCGCCGAGGCGGTGCGTAGTGATCAAACCACGCCTTCGGATTTTCCTTGAACCACCGGTTGTTGGCGCTCTGCCAAGCGATGTCGCGCTCCATCCTAGTGCCACACAAGCAAGACATCTTGGGAAAATTTTCTCGGGCACACTGGGGGCAATAGGACACCAGGACTGACTGCGCCGAAGCCTCCTTGGCTACGCGAGGGGTCGGAGGCGAAATGGGAGGGGTAACCGTGGGCGGTGAGGAAGGGAATGGTAGTGCCGCGATAACTTTTCTGACACGTCTTTGAGGACGTCGGTCGCGCAGTTCCTGTAAACGGTCTGCGCGAAAGTAAGTACAGCTCAATTATATGGTGATCGCGTTCACCGATTTTCTTTTGCGTTTCGACTGTTCGTTCTTCGGGTCTTGAAGTTCTGGCCGGCGCCATGCAGACAGATTTAAGTTGGAGAGACAGAAAGGTGGATTATATATTACGTGGCATTTTGTACATAGTATCTAGCGGATGAACTCTGTATCTAGGCATCCAAAAGGGAGGAAGGGGGGGGGGATTAAATATACAGCGAGCCCAAAGCAGCCTGGCGATCAGCTTCTAATTCTTCTGGCTTGGAAAACAGGTCGAGGGCCCACTGCCATCGAGATCCAGGAACACCATCAAACGACGCCACCAGGTCGGCTCCACCAGCGCTGGCGAGGACAGATTTGGCAGAACGGAATCCATATTTAACCCACCTAAATAGACCCCCTGCTGCGTATTGGGTGAATGAGAAACGGGTCTCGCCCTTCTGGATCGGTGTATTCCCGTGCGGGATGAACCCAGAGGGAACGGGCATGCTGGAGCCCGACGGGAAATCAATGACCACGTTGAGTAGCTCCATGTAGAACTGGCCGCCGTTGGTGTGATCGAGATCCCCGCCGGCGGTAATGCCGCACAGACCATGCAAGAGATTGTTGAAGTCGACATGTCCATCGGTGACGACGTCCGGCCCCAGGTTTAAGGTAGCCGCAGGGTAGATTGAATTCGAAAAGTTATGCTGCAATCCCTCGTGATGCTCAAATAGGAGTCGGAGATTGTCGACGTAGTACCGGTACAGCTTGGGCGCGTAGCGAGCAAACCCACCTGCGAGAGGAAGGCGTTGAATGGGTTTGTTCCCGAGCTCCAGAAGAGACTTACTGGACTGAAAGCCAGCCAACCTACGCAGGCTCTTGTTGGATAGCAAATAATTGATCAATTTCTGCCGTTTCGCAGAATTCACTAAATTCCTGGGGCGCTAGAGGCCGTGCATCAAAATTTTGCATTGAAATATTTCTAATTACGAGCTAGGTACCTTCTGGCCACCGCCAAACGAGACGCCGGTCGACAGGAGCGCGTAGTGCCCCCAGCGATGCTTGATGTCTTTGGCCCGGAACGCCCCCGACCTGTACCCCGCACGCCGTGCACGGTCCATCGCCTTCGCCGCATCACGGACAACGTCGTCCCAATCCGGATCCTCGGGGCAACCAAGGAGGATGGCGATGATTCGACCATGTACATCTAAGATGAGCTTTGGGGAACTAAAGTGGAGCGTAAGGCTCCGTTGGCGAGAGGGGCGGTATAGATAGAACTCACCGGCCATCCCATCGAATGCGCCCAACCCCCGCCTGTATGAGTTGGGGCAAGGTCCTTTTCCTGGTGCGTCTCTGTCCTGCGCGGCCCTACCCACGCGCCCGCGTTTGAGGTATATGCAGAGGCGGTCTCGAAGGTCGTCGTTTCCACGGGCTCTTGGCGGTGGTCCTGTGAATGTTTGACACGAATACCGCGGTCGAACGGGTTGGGAAGCCTGGCAGCCCCAGCTTCAGCGCGATGGCGGCGGCGGCGCGCATAGTTGTTGGCTCGTTTTCGCTTGATGTGTATATCGGAGACGAGGGGCGGTGGGTCAGAGACCTCAGTGGGGGATTCGAAGGTGTCGGCGGAGAGGTCAGTATGACTGACGAAAATATCAATGCATAAGCTAGAGACATGGGATAAGAGCAACGTACGTGGAGGTCCTGGATTGCTCGGGCGCAGGGGAAGGTGTGCGTGTTGCTGGGGGGCTCGCGGTGAGCTCCGACATTGGGGACGGGGGGCGTGAGTCGAGATCCTTGTCGAGGTCCTCCCAGTCATTGCCGTCGTCTTCTAAGGGGTCGCCAGAGTCCTGGGCGTTCGCCCGGAGATCTGCGGCAGTGAGGGCTGCTTCAAAGTAGGTGCTGATGTCCACGTTGGTGTGTATGACTTCACAGGCCGTGTCGGCGATTTGGAGAAAGGCGGGGTCTACCACGTACGGGGAGAACGCTCGCCCCGTACGTGTGGTACGGTCCATGTTGCAAGATCTGGAGAGCGATGAAGGTCAGTGAAGGTCTGATGATTCAGAAAAGAAGAAAGAAAAAAATGAGTGGCACCGAGGCGCCGTGCCACAGTGCCACAGTGCCACTATAGAACACTATGGTAAGATTCAGCATATGGCACTGGGGCACACATGCAAGGCGCCTCGGTGGTATCCATGTTGCGCCAACGGTTGGGAGGAAAAATGACTC